TGAAGGATCCCTACTTTCTCCATATGGGTGGTTGTCAAAATTAGGGTCCCTTTTTGGGTCCTTATTATAATACGGCACCTTTTATTTAGGGTACCCCAAAAGGGACCATAATTTTGACAACTACCCATATGAAGACTACAGAGGAGTACGTTCTGGCACGTCATGGCCGACCCAAGACCACAAGCCCAAAGGCCCTTTTCCCCTCAAGCTGTCGTAAAGCTTCAGGGTTTAGGGTTTAGGNNAGGGTTTTTAGGGTTTTGCTACCAACAACGACAAGCCTCCCCTCATTGAGACTCAGCAGCATGTACTGGCAGGGCTAGTCGTAGAACTGTTGCCAGTAGGCATCGAGCCATTAGGAGCACTCAGTCCCCGCCATTTACTAACCAAACCCCTAAACCCTATAAACCCTAAACCCTAAATCCTAAACCCTATAAGCCCTCAACCCTAAACCCATAACCCTATAAACCCTAAACCGGCGTGGAGCTTCCCACGCGGCCAGGCGCCTTGCTCTGCGCAGTGAGCAGCTGGCTGCACAACGAATCTGTCTGGAGTATGATAACGGAGCCAGCGCTGCATGTCGTCGGTGTGGTTTCCACCTGGCTAAGGGGCGATTTCAGCCACGTGAAAAGCGCCGGGATGATACGGAAGCACAGTCCCATCTGGCTCTGCACCTGAGATGCCCTGGAGACACTTGCTGCAGAGGCTCGCCCGCAGACTACAGGTTGTGGAGCCGCGGCAGGACATGTGTGTGGCCGGCGCGACACAGCTTCAACCTGATGTAAGGTATCTTGAGGTAAGCCATGGTGGCAATGAAATTCAGTCATAACAATGAACATCAGCGAACTGACAACTATGGTTGTTGCTATGACTTCTTGCAACTTTTGCTAATTAACAATAATCCTATAATAACAAGACAATGAACAGCCTAATATCAATACTACATATTGCATGCGGCAATAATGTCTCTAATCGCCGATAACAATCCCAACATTACAAGGAGCAGCCTCATCAATTAGTGCATATATATATATATAATACAGGTATACATACATAGACAGACAGACACACTGATAGATAGTTAGGCACACAGGTAGATAGATAGCTAGATAGATAGATAGATAGATAGATAGATAGGTAGAAGCCTAAATACTTCCCAATACTGTTCCTTGGAGATCCAGGCATAAGTATATTGTAACGGACCCTCAAACCCAATTCTAAGTATTTCGGCCCCTGGATAAAACTTGCGCCGGACAGGTTCTTGCTCTCGACAGTCGCGCCTCTCCAGGCTTGCGCTCTGGGGCTGTGCTTTCTTTGATTCCAGTGCCGGTAAGTTGAGGATTTCTGCTTAACATCAGGTTCAGGGTTCAGGGCTTGGGCTTAAGGTGTGTGGGCTCAAGGTGTGTGAGTGCCTTTGGGGTTTATCTTCATGCAGGATGGGACTGTTGATGGTGCAGTGTGCACTGATGGAACGACACGAGACCATGATGACGATAGTGATGATGAGGACGACGATCGTACGAACGATTGTAATGCACAAGTTGGTATCGATGCTGCTGTCCCTCCCCGTGGTTCTGAGCTCATGTTCTGCGTTCTAAACTGAACGACGCCTTCTGACTCTATGCCTCTTGGGCTTGGGCCAGCTTGGGGTATAGGGTTTCGGAATATGGGCAGAGGTAATAGCAAGTTTTGCTCAATTTCAACTGTAGCATAGTAGCAGTCGTAGCAGCAACAGCAGCAACAGTTACGGTCTCCAAGCCTCAAATACAGCACAGCTGAGACCCTAAACAAATGCCCAGAGACGGATTGAACATACAACCTAAAGCTTAGATTCAAAACCATCTGTACAGGGCTTGTTCTTGCGAAGTCTGCAGTACCGGGTAACCGGCTTCATTCAACCTTTCACCAAACCTCACATAACTAAGCAGGGACATTGGTATTTGTCGACACTGTCACCTGCTCTTGGAAAGGCAGGCGCTGCCATCATCAGAGACGTGCGCGCCTGGCACGGTGCTTCTGCTGTCAACGATTTTCCAGAGTTTGAAGTATTGTACCGTACTATACACCGTAAAATTACAATAAATATATTACGTCACCATAAAACTAGAATATGATATACTATGTTATATTAAAGGTAGGATTACGATGGCATACATACCGTTTGTTTTGCTGTCCTGCGGAAGCATCGAATTTTCGAAGAGTGCATTCTGGTGCTTGGAACCAGAAGATAGAAACCTGGATAACTACCTTGAAAATTCTGCCCATGAGGGTTTCTAGAGTAGTGGTGGTAGTCGGCAATGTAAACTAATAGTTGTAATCATAAGATACCCCGACTTAATTCATGCCCGCATACTTTGAAACCCTTTTTCACACAGTATGAAACATAGAAGCCTATACAGTATTAAACCCTAAACCCTAAACCCTAAGGTGCGAGAGTCAAAGGCCCATTGCACTTTAAAAAACCCTAAGCCGTGGAGGCTATACACCCTTCCGAAAGTCTGACTAGTAAATCTACCCCGACTTAATTCATGCCCCCCCCCCCCCCATATTTTGAAGCCCTTTTTCAAACAGTATAAATCTAAACCCTAAACCCGAAACCCTTTTTCAAACAGTATAAATCATATATAGAAACCTATACGCCCTTCCGGAAGTCTGACTAGTAAAACAGGCCTGAATCCCGATCCTCGGAGCTCCAGGCCCGAAGCTTCGCGTCTTCAGCCCAGAGACTCCAAGATCCCTTAATTAAGGAATATACCTTCAATCATATGGGTAGTTTTCTAAATTAGGTGGGGTCCCTTTTGGGGTCCTTTTCATAAGGGTGCCGTACTATATTGGGGGCTTAAAACAGGGACCCTAATTTAGAGAACTACCCATATTATGGATCCTAGTATCATTTAAGGAATATTCCTTAATTAAGGGATATTGGAGTCTCTGGGAGCTCAGACCCAAAAATATGAACCGCCGACGCCCAAACCGACGGTTGATGACATAAACCCCTGCATTACCTTAAAGGGACCCCTAAGCTACGGGAGATTTATGGCATATCCTTTGTGGTTCATGCAGGGTTGATATCATCAACCGTATGAACTTCTAAACCCGGAGAGCCGAGATCCCCGGTTACTCAAGGAAGAGACCTTCAAGCAAAGGGTTTAGGGTGTAGGGTTTAGGGTGTAGGGTTTAGGGTGTAGGGTTTAGGGTTTAGGGTGTAGGGTTTAGGGTTTAAGGTCTAGGGATGTAGGAACCTGACTCAAGAAACCTCGGGTCCTTATTCGGGCTCTCTGTATATGGATTTTTGATATTTCTTCGGTGTTATAGGACCAGGGTTTCTTCATCAGGTCCCTACATGTAGGGGCCTAAATAAGTACCTAGAATATACCCTAAACCCTAAACCCTAAACCCCTAAACCCTAAACCCTAAACCCTAAACCTTATTTCAGGGGCTCCTTATTATAAATATAAGGGGCCCAAAACCCTGTTCTAATTATGAAGGCCCCTGCAGTATGACTTAAAGCATCTTCCTGGGGGCTCCCTAGGAACCGCAAGAGGCCTCGAGGGCTGCAGGCTTTGATCATGTTAGGTTTTTAGGGTTTAGGGTTTAGGGTTTAGGGTTTAGAGTTTAGGGTTTAGGGTTTAGGGCTTAGGGTTTAGGGTTTAAGGTTTAGGGCTCGTTCGTCAACATTGCCGATAGCCTCCATCGTAGTTCCTTGTTTTGGTTATGTAATGGAGACTCTAGGTGTTCTGCAGGGATCCTCCGTATAATACACAGCCCTGAAATCCTAAAATCTTACACCCTAAACCCTGAAACCCTAGACCTTAAGACCTGGAAACCCTAAAACCTTAAAACCCTAAAACCCTAAAACCCTAAACCCAAAGCCTTAAAACTCTAAAAACCTAAACCCTAAAACCCTAAACCCGAAACCGCGAACCCTGAAAACCTAAGCCCAACATATCCTAAAACCCCCCCAAAACCTAAACCATAAAAGCCTAATCCCTAAACCCTAAAACAAAACCCCTAAACACTAAAACCTAAATCCTAAACCCTTAAACCGTAAAACCCCCAAGCCCAATTCTAACGGGGAAAGCCCTAGGGCTCCTGGGGTTTAGGGTTTAGGGTTTAGGGTTTACCTGCAATATGCTACCCGGGGATTAGAGGTTGAGGGGTTCAGGGGTTTAGGGTATAGGGATGTTTAGGGTGTAGGGTTTAGGGGTTTAGGCTTTAGGGGTTTAGGGGTTCAGGTTTTTAGGGCATTTTTGGGTTTAGGGTTTAGGGGTATAGGCTTTAGGGGTCTAACCCCCTGATCCCCAGACGCCTAAACCATGAACTAACATCCCTCCACTCCTAAATCCTGAACCCGAAAATGAGGGCACAAGGCCTGCAATCTCAGGCGGCACGCCCAACGTGACAGAAGTCCCGCGGTACCTTCCGTCCATCGAGCATCTTGCCTGCATGGTGCAGGTCTTGGGATTTCGAGTGTTCGGCACAGGCTGCAATTTCCGAGAGAATCCATAGTCCTATCATTCAGGTGTTTTACGAACAAGTAGTGGAGTCATAGCGTTCTGCTTTATTGAAGTCGCACACGTGCATAGAGATGGCATGTGCAGCCATGTGCACTTGTGAAGATGCACCCTTGTGCCGTGCATGTGTCGCAGATGGATGGTGAACATATGATATGGACATCTCGCAAGGAGCATGTGCGTATGTTACGTGTATGTGTGCATGTATAATATGTGTATGTATATTATACATATATATATATATATACATGTGTTTGTACATGTATATGGATATGTATATATACACATACGCATACATCTATGCATATGTATGTATGTATGTATGAGTGAAGTTGTGTGAACCGTCCTTTGCCCGTCATGCATATCTGACAGCTTACTCCGGAGCGCGCTTGGGCTCTGTTGAGGAAAAGGGATCCCACTGATTTTCTGAGTTTGGTAGCGGAGCTTCGGCTCTAATACCCCGCCATACTCTGAGCGCTACGCGTGCCCGGGTGGAGCCTGGGCAGCTGGCTGAGGCCAGCTCTTTTCTCCTCTCTTCGAGTACCACGTTTTGCACCACGATTACACGATTCTCCGCAAGAACAAGTTTCACTAGAGCCACCTCGGCCATATCCCTGCTGAGCCTTTTCGTGACGATAGGCATCCTAGTGCCTGAGGCTTCGGTGGGAAGGAGTTCGGTGGCTGTGTCACAGAATTCGATAGAGTTCGGCGAGGACAAGACGATTCGGGGCTACCTGTACATTCTCCTGCACAACGAGGCAAAGGACGACAGCCCTGAGAAGGAAAAGATGGCACAACCTCCTACGGGGATACCCTTGGGAGAGTACCGTCGAGATGTTCCTCCTGGCTGGGGCCCAGGAATCCCAGACTATCCTCTGAAGACGTTCTTTGAGAGACTGAAAGTCTGGTACAGATTATACGACGGTCCCGACGAGACCGTCGGGCCCCTTGTCGCGGGAAGATTGCAGGGCAAAGCTCAAAAGTTAGCCTTGCAGCTTCGGCTTCCGAGGCCAGACGGGAACACCGACACCGGGTCAGATGCCCTTGTGAGACTACCGGTAGACGAAGTACGTGATCCACAGAACCCTCAGGTCATACTACAACACCATATACCTTCGGGAATACAAGCACTATGTGATCGTCTGAGGGAAACGTTTGGACAGAGCGATCAGGACATGGCTTCCCGGTCCCTCGAGAGCTTCTTTGAACTTCGGAGAGGCCGTTCGTCTCTTCAAGAGTACGCTGTGGAGTTCGACTTGAGGATGGAAGAAGCTCATGATCGAGCCGGGCTGGAGATGAACGAGGTTGCTTTGTTTTATTTCTTCTTCAAGAACAGTGGCCTCAGCTCTCGCTTCGTGGAAGATGTTAAACTACAAGTCCACGGAGATCTTCGCCGCTACAACGAGGCCCGGAACCTTGCACTTCGTCTCAGTACCAAGGCTGAAGGCGAGAACTTCTACCAAGATGAGGATGCGATTTCTCCCGCCGCGGACAATAGGTCCTGGGACTACTGGGGCGAAGAATGGAACGAGGCCTACGATGATGACTACGAGGACGCCTGGTCCTCGTGGTACGGCGAGGAGGACTACTACGACGCGATGGAGGAGCACGAGGGCGACTGGCAAGAGTACGAGGGCGATGCTGATGGAACGGCCGACGATGCTGGAAGCTACCCGGTCAAGGGCGGCAAGAAAGGACGTGGCAATGCCATGGGCGTCGGCTGTTCGGCCTGTGGAAGCAAGTGGCACGACACCTCGTCATGCCCTCTGAACAAAGGAGGTTACGACTCCTCTGGCAAGGGCAAAGGCTATGGCAAAGGCAAGGGCTACGGCTCGAAGGGGTCGAAGGGCAAAGGCAAAGGCTACGGCAAGGGCTACGGGAAGTACAAAGGCCGTCCTGGCTTTCGCGGCTCATGGGGCGGTAAGAAAGGTGGCTTCGGGAAATGGAGAAGCTATGCTGAGTTTCCCGACGAGAACTACTACAACTACGAAAAGTCACTTTCGCACCACTTCGGCTCCGACACCTTTGCTGCCTTTCCTGGACAGAAGCCAGAATCCCCTTCTACGCCTTCTTCCTCGCGTCCGGTTGTCGTGGATATGTCCCGTGGAGACAACGACCTCATCCAGCGCAAGACGGTTACCTTTGAAGGTGCAGAGGGAGATGGCTCTGGGGCCGCCGAGACCTCTGAGGCGATCCCGCCTAAGAACCTGCAGTTCCACTTCCCTGTGACCTTGTACGCCGAGCGAGAGCACTTCCACATGATCGGTGGAGAAAAACGAAGGGGTCTCCTGGTGGACCCGGGGGCGAGCAATGGACTGATTGGATCGGAGACGCTACGGGACATGGTGGATGTTTGCGTCTCGAACAAGAGGCGTGTTCAGTGGAATGCCAAGACGGCAAGTGTCTCGGGGATATCCGGGTCACAAGACCGCACCCTCGGCGAGGTGACCATCCCGGTCTCCTTCGGCCAAGGTGCTGGGAGCTTTACCGCCGATGTGCTGGGCGGTGAAGGCTCACTCTGTCCCGCTTTGCTATCCAATCCTGCTCTTCAGAAAATGGACTCAGCGATCTTCACGAACTTCTTCGATAATGGTGATGGTCTTCTTGCTTGCAGAGGACAAGGCTCCGAGGACGTGACCTCTGGCTTCGATGACTGGTCACATTTCCGGTTGTTGTTGACTGACTCAGGTCACTACCTGCTGCCTGTGGACAACGAGGCGAAAGCAGTCCCTAAGGAAGTTACCAAGAAGGCTATGTCGTTCTGGCAACAGACCGTCTCAGGCAGTCGGTCAAAATGGAACGATGTGAGGCACTGCTTTCTCAACACAGTTGCGGCAGAACATGAGCGGAGTGAAGTCTTTGTGAACGAGGAGATCGACCGTGGAGTTCTTCGTGATCCACTAGAATCACCAGCAGATGACCGTGGAGTTCCTCGTGATCCAGTAGAATCACCAGCAGATGACCGTGGAGTTCGTCGTGATCCAGTAGAATCACCAGCAGATGACCGTGGTCCTAGTTCGCCCAAGGCACCTAGTCGTTGTGGGGTTCGTGGCCTTTATCTTCTTACAGCCGATGATCCGAAGGTCACCTGGTCAGCACGAGATGAGTGGACTCTCTTTGGCGACACTCTGACCAGGCACCACAACGTCCCCAGAAGGACAATGTTCACACCCAGCTGTACCTCAGACTGTCCTGTTCCTTTACACTGCTTGGTCGAGAGACGAGAGACAACGATCCGAGCAGCCGGGAAGTCTTCTACGATCAAAGACGCATGGACTCAGGTTGTCCATCCTCACCGCGACATGGGCTATCAGTGGACGGGCCAGACCAAGTTCAAGGTCAAGGTTGACAAGCAAATTCATGATGGTACGGTGCAGAAGGAGGAGCTTCCTGACATGTCTTTCCACGAGGGCTTCGAGGAGTACCAAGGTGACGTCTTTCCTGATCACTGGTCTGAAGCGGAAAAGAAGAAGCAGGCCAAGAAGTACGTGGACATTCCAGAGGAGTTCTACTCGAAGTCAAAGCGGCGACCAGTGACTCCCAAGAACTTCAACACTTGGTTTTCTCGAGCTCGTGGCAAAGGTCTGCGATGGCACTTTCAGGAGCTCTACTCAGGCTCTGGGCGCTTGAGCCTGATGGCCGTCCTCTCCGGGCTCATGGTTGGCTTCCCCATCGACTACCGCTATGGCTGGGATCTTGCTGCTTCGAGTCATCAAGCCATGATCAATCAGGCTCGGGATGAGTTCATGCCGGCCTATCTCTATGCAGCTCCGACAAGCACACCATGGACTACTTCCTCGTCAAAGAAGGCAGCACACCTACGGAAGGCTGAGCAATTACAAGAAGCCGTTTCCTTGGACTTCGCAAAGCACCTCTTCGAGAAGCAGGCCAAAGATGATCTTGGCTTCTGTGTTGCGCAGCCGCTCAACTCCGTGATGTTCAAGGACAAGGACAGCCCGTTTCGGTTTGTCAGTGATCTGGGTGCATGCCGGAAGAAACAACAAGTGGACCAATGTGCACATGGCTGTGTGGATCCGCACGGAGCTCCTGTGAAGAAGTCTACTGTCTTCATGAGCAACGTCAAGCGCTACCACTCGGCAAAGCGATGCGATGGCCACAAAGGCAAGGTTCATGTGACTCTCCAAGGCAGGAACTACGACGCCACTCCGGCCGCGCACACGGTTGTCTATCCTCAGAGAATGTGCCGGGCAGTGGTTGATGATGTCTGGAAGTTTGTTCGTGCCTCAGGTCACAACTTTTCTACCTGGCCATCCGAGCTGATACTGCACTCTTTCTCTGGCTACAAGTGTGAGAGATGCCAAATGGGTCGCGCTGCTCTTCCTTGGATGGAGCACTCCTTGATCCCAGGCGAATGTCGCCATGGTCGGCGTCCTCCCGGTGAAGGTCCTCGTGGCAGGCTTCCGGTGGATCCCATTGCGACCTTCAAGCGCCAGGCCAGGGACAAGGACCTCTCGGACGTGGAGCTCACCACGCCTTCAGACATCTTCTTTCCAGTGCAGGACTCGCTGTACCTCAAGTACACCCTTTTCAGGCTGATCCAGGATTCGGTGGCCTTGTTCAGCGAAGCTACCTCTCGCGGCATGGAGTATGTTCACTGGGTCACCGATCCGGTCATCAAGACCATGTTTCAGCAGATCTTGCAGAAGGAGATGAACGTAAAAGGTGCTGTTTGCGCCCTGCGGCCCTTTCACTGCATGGTTCCAGAACCTCAGCTTTCGTCCAAGACAGCACCACTGCGACTTCAGATTTCTGGGAATGTCAAGAAATGGAAGGTCCATGAGTTGGAGGATCTCAGGATGATGAGTCAATCGCAGCAACACCAGAAGATCGACGAGGTTGACTGGCTGATCACCGCTTTCGGTGCTGATATCGGAGAGGGCAAACCTGATGCGATTCCC